TAGATTTAAATTCTGTACCTCATGTATTTAATAATACAAATACATTACCTGAAAATTTATCTAGTGTATTAGTTAATAGTTGATACGCAATTTATCCTGTTAATGAATTAACTTCAGTAGGTAATTTATTATATACTGAATATGCTATTTTATTTATAATTATGGGTGTTATTTTATTATTATCAATAATTGGAGCAATAGTAGTAACTACATTAAAAAAATAATTATGGATTATTTTCAATATTTTTAATATTCTAAAAATTATATAAATTTTAAGTTTAATATAAATAAAATATATATATATATAAAATATATTTATATAGATATTTCACATATAAAATTGTTATGCATATTATTATGTATTATATATATATATTTGTTTATAATTTTTTAATATAAATCAATCAATGATTTTAAGTATAATTACTATTTTAGTATTTGTAATATGTATTTTATTAAGTGTTGCTTATTTAACAGTAGCTGAAAGAAAGACATTAGCTTATATGCAACGTAGATTAGGTCCTAATGCAGTAGGATATTATGGTTTATTAATGGCTTTTGCTGATGCTTTAAAACTTCTTTTAAAAGAAATTATCGTTCCTAGAGAATCTAATTTTGTAATAATGTTATTATCACCATTAATTGCATTAATTTCAGGTTTATTAGGTTGAGCTGTAGTTCCATTTGGTCCTAGTATTACTATAGGAGATATAGAATATGGATTATTATATGCTTTAGCTATTAGTAGTTTAGGTGTATTTGGTAATTTATTAGTAGGTTGAGCCTCAAACTCTAAATATGCTTTATTAGGTAGTATTCGTTCAACTGCTCAATTAATTAGTTATGAATTAGTTTTAACTACTATTGTAGTTATAGTTATAATGTTTGTAAGTAATTTAAATATGACAGAAATTGTAGAAACTCAACGTAGTATATGATATGTTGTACCATTATTACCTGTTTTAATTATTTTCTATATAGCTTCAGTAGCCGAAACTAATCGTCCACCATTTGATTTAGTAGAAGCTGAATCTGAATTAGTATCAGGACATATGACTGAATTATCTGCTTCACCATTCGTTTTATTCTTCTTAGCTGAATATAGTAATATTATGTTAATTTGTTGTTTAAATATAATTTTATTCTTAGGAGGATATTTAAATAGTAACTTAATTACTAATTTATTCTCAATTAATTTATTAAGTAATTCTATATTATTAGTATTAATTGAAGGATTAATTTATGGAGCTAGTTTAGGTATTAAAGCTAATATTTTAATGTTTACTTTCATTTGAGTTAGAGCTGCTTTCCCTAGAATTCGTTATGATCAATTAATTAATTTCTGTTGAGTAATATTATTACCTTTATTATTTGGTATTGTAATATTAGTACCTTGTATCTTAGCAGGATTTGATAGTTTACCTGTAACTATCTAATTAGTTAATATATAGTTATATTAACTAATATATGTATGTATATTATATATATATATATAGTATATAAGTACTATACTATACTATTAGTATCGCAATATGATGTAATTGGCTAACATATTAGGCTCATGTCCTAAATATATACGTTCAAGTCGTGTTATTGCACTAACATACAAAAAGGGGGTTATAGTTAAATTGGTAGAATAGAGGCGTTGCATGCTTTTGATTCGGTTTCGAGTACCGATAACTCCATAGTTTACATTTTTATGTAATCTTATTTACATATAAGTGATTGTAATATAATATTTAAATAAATAGTATTATTACTAACAAATAATATTAATTATTATTTAATAATATAAGTGATTTATATATATATAAATTATTTTATTAATTAGCCTCCAGATGGATTCGAACCATCACTCTTAACATTAACAGTGTTTTGCTTTACCAATTAAGCTATAGAAGCTTATATTACAAAAAGAAATAGATTAGAAAAATATTTAGATTTATGGTTAATTAGTATTAATTATGTATTATTATATTAACCTATTATATACTAGTCTTGTATATCCATATAATATATCTACAGGACAGCTTCGTTTTTGATATGCTTTCAAAACTTATCCTTTATTAACTTAGCTTAACTACAGCAATTTAAAAAATAATAAGTACTAATATTTTATATAAATATATTTTTAAATTAATAGTTACACCATAGGTTAATTAATCCAAGTCCTTTCGTACTAAGGATTAGGCCTGTGTTTATATTATTCCCTATAGTTGATAAGAACCATACTGACTCAAGTCGTATTTAACCCAACTCACGTAACCTTTTAATTGGCGAACAGCCAAACCCTTCTTAGCACCTACAACCAAGAGGATAGGTTGAGTCGACATCGAGGTGGCAAACCTAACTTACAATATCTACTCTCTCGTTAGATTACCCTGTTATCCCTAGCGTAACTTTGATCCGTTATCAGTAACCTTTACAATCAGTATTACTTGTTCATTATGCCTTACTTACGTACTAGTTTCACTTGTTTGTGTCACTATTTATGCACAGTTATACCATTACACTTTATTGAATTAATTTTAATTCTTTGTTTTCCAGACAAACGTACTGTACTTATTTTTTTCTAGTTTTATTATGAATTAGAATAACTAATCTTTTATTGACAATTAATATACATATTGTATACATTATAATTATTTAATTTATATTATTTTATCTATGGACTTATTCAGTTATTTTTTATGAAAATGACGCCCCATCAAAACTACCAATTAGATATTGTCTCCTATTATTATAAATATAATTATATTATATAATAAATTATATAATATAAATATAATATTTATATATATTTAAGAATATTCATTAAATATTATTTCTAGGATAAGAATTATTATAAAGTTTAAATAAGTCTCTCACTTCTGTCTAATCGACTACTTAATACCTCTATTAAATTTAGAATAATTCAATAATTCTAACTACAGTAAAGCTGCATAGGGTCTTTCTGTCAAGCTATAGGTACACAGCATCTTCACTGCGATTTCAATTTCACTAAGTCTCTAGTGGATACAGTTGTTGTATCATTACCTCATTCATGCGGGACCATATTTAGTGGCCAAGGTATTTCGCTACATTACAATCCTCAGGATAAGACTGCTATTAACAAGAGGCTTTCTAAAGAATCCTTTCAGAATCTTTATTTATCATCTTGCAGGGAGCAGAGTTCACACCTTATACAACTACTTTATGTATTAGCAAAGTGCGGTGTTTTTAGTAAACAGTTGTACAACTTAATTTTTCCTTAGTTTCTCTCTACTAGTTCAAGAGCTAATTTTTTGCCGAGTTCATTCACTAGAGTTCCCTTATTCGCTTTCATATTCTCTACTAGCATACCGGGGTCGGTCTACATTACGGTATCACTAATCATTTTTCCTGGACTGATTATAGTACTACAAATAATAGTCATTATTGATGATTAGTTAGATTTTCCTATCGTTTGTATATTTTTATTTTTACTAAACTTAAGGGCCGTTCTTTTATAGTAAAACCTTATGCATTATGCGATGAAGATTTAACTTCATTTTCGTTACTCATGTCAGCATTCTCTTTCTAATTAATTTATTTATTAATTGCTCAGAATTAATTAAATTTATTTTTAATATTATAAAATATTATAATATAAAGTTCATTAGATGTTCCACTACCATATATAAATGAATTATTAATTATAATCATTATATATATATAAATGCGGTAATATTATTAGATCCGTATATTGTCCAATAAAATTATTGTTAGTTATTAACTAGTGCATTGTTACATGTTCATTAAAGGATGGTTATTGTCAAACCCACCATCTAGTAGTATAACATAATTTTATTGTTTATTTCACTGGTAATATGTTTAGGAACCTTATTTAATATTTAGGGCTGTTTCCCTTTAGACTATCTACCTTATCACAAATAGTCTGACTCCTATTTAAATTTTATTATTCCGTTCCGAGGTCAAGTAACATTGGTAAGATTTTTACATCCCCCAATTAAATGGTTTAGATTTATAAATATTATATAATTTATATAATATAAAGAAACTAGGAGCTGTACTGATATAATAATTATTATAGGGCTATACTTACATATATTTCGTGGAAAACCAGCTATCTGCATACCAGATTTGTCTTTCACCTCTTATCACATCTCATCAGATGTTATTGCAACAACAACCTGTTCGACCTATTTTATTTCGTCTGGACATGATAAGATCGTATGCTTTCGGGTTTATTATCTTTAACTAATATTCTTAATTATATTAAGAAAAATATTTGGTATAAAATTCTAGTTATTTATAATAATTTATATTTTATTTTGCTAAAAATAATATCTTACTGACCCATTATACAAAAGGTAAATTATTAACAATTAGTATTGTCTATAACTGCTTATAGAAATATCATTTTCATACTTTCCCTTACGGTACTTTATTTGCTTATTATTTGTATTTAGTTTTAGAGTTTGTTACCCTTTATTCATACATATTTACTTACATATTACTTGGTATAAACTATATTTAGTTCGCTCACCACTACTTTAAATATCTCGGTTGATTTATATTCCTTAAGGTACTTAGATGTTTCAGTTCCCTTAGTTATATATTTGGTTTCCCTTAGGTTTTGATATTGAGCTATGCTCCATTTAAATATTTATTATAATAAATATAATATCTATGATACCTTTCAAATAATAACTTTGTATTCCATGATATTTCCTTTAATTCTAAAAATCACATTTCAAATCTATTTCTATTTGTACTTATAATATAAATTTTATTATTTATATATAATAATTATATAAGTATATAAATATAAAACACATTATCTTACCGTAATAATAATTTATTATTAATTTATATTAAAATAAAATAAATATTTTAATTCTATAAATATATACAATTATATATTATTTATAATGATATTTAATATATTATATATTATTAATATATATATAATATTTATTTATTTATTATAAATATATTTTACATTTTTAATAAAAAAAATGGCAATTCGTAAATCAGACGTTTATTTATCATTAGCTAATAGTTATATGATAGATTCTCCTCAACCTTCATCAATTAATTATTGATGAAATTTAGGTAGTTTATTAGGATTATGTTTAATGATCCAAATAGCTACAGGTATTTTCTTAGCTATGCATTATAGTTCTAATATTGAATTAGCATTCTCATCAGTAGAACATATTATGAGAGATGTTAATGGAGGTTGATTAATTAGATATATGCATGCAAATGGAGCTTCATTTTTCTTCATTTGTTTATATATCCATATTGGTAAAGCTTTATACTATGGAAGTTATAAAGCTCCTAGAACATTAGTATGAACAATTGGAGTAATTATCTTTATTGCTACTATTGCTACAGCTTTCATGGGTTATTGTTTAGTTTATGGACAAATGTCTCATTGAGGTGCTACAGTTATTACTAACTTATTAAGTGCTATTCCATTTATTGGAGGAGACTTAGTACCGTTCATCTGAGGAGGTTTCTCAGTTAGTAATCCTACTATCCAACGTTTCTTTGCTATACATTATTTATTACCATTTGTTTTAGCTGCATTAGTAGTAATGCATTTAATGGCATTACATGTTCATGGTTCATCTAACCCATTAGGTATTACAGGTAATATTGATAGATTACCAATGCATCCTTATTTTATCTTCAAAGATTTAATTACTGTATTTGTATTCTTATTAGTATTCTCATTATTTGTATTCTTCTCACCTAATACTATGGGACATCCTGATAACTATATCCCAGGTAATCCTTTAGTTACTCCAGCTTCTATTGTTCCAGAATGATACTTATTACCATTCTATGCTATCTTACGTTCAATTCCTGATAAATTAGGAGGAGTAATTGCTATGTTTGGAGCTTTATTAATCTTATTAGTATTACCTATTACTGATCGTAGTATTATTAGAGGTAATGCATTTAAAGGTTTATCTAAATTTATGTACTTCTTATTCTTAGCTAATTTTGCATTATTATTACATATTGGAGAATTACATGTAGAAGTTCCATTTATTGCTTTAGGTCAATATGCTACAATATTCTACTTTAGTTACTTTATTATTTTTGTTCCAATTATTTCTATTACAGAAAATATTTTATTTGTATTATTTAGTCGTAACAATAACTCAAAGTAATTAAGGAGGGGGTACTCCCTGTGAAGTAGACTTGCATTAATAGGGGTATCCCCGAATTTGTAGTTTACTTCACTAATTTTTTAATTAATAAGATTAAATTGGTTATTTATTATTCATATAATGAATTAAAAACTTTAATAGAACAATTAATATCAAAGGATTATTCTTTAAATATGAGATGAAAATCTCTTTCTAATATTAACTATTATTAATATTATAGGAATATTTACTTTATTTTTATTTATTGTTTTTAAAGTCTAATTCAAGTTTTATTAAATTATAATTCTAATTTCTTTGATAAAAATTTATATATCTCATGAATTCTAAAAATTATTATTTTATTAATAATAGTTACTGTATTTAGATTTTGATATATTAATTAATTATTTTAATTTAATAGAGAATCATTGATTATCTATTAACTAAATAATTATATAAATTTGTATTTTTATATATATATCGAAAAATATGAAAAATAGGTATATAGAAATATTTCTATATATAAATATATATATATAATATATATATATATTTAAGGGTAAGAGGGTGGGTATATATAATATAAGTAAGTATATTCATATATATACTAATGATTATGGCGAAATGGTAAACGCGATTCTTTTAGGCAGAATTTTTTATGAGTTCAAGTCTCATTAATCATATATTATATAATATATATTATTATATATATATTTTATAAGTACTATACTATACTATAATATATATTTTATAATAAAAAAAAATATTTATCTAAATATAAATATAAGGATAAATGTCCGAGTGGTTTATGGTGTAATATTTGAGCTATTATGTATTGTAAAATACCGGGAGTTCGAATCTCTCTTTGTCCGAATAAATATATATATAAAGAATTATAGCTTAATTGGTAAAGCAAACCACTCATAATGGTTGTAACAGAGATCGAAACTCTGTAATTCTAATAATTTTAGGTAGATATAGCTTAATGGTAAAGCGGATTCTTGTGGCGGATCTTATCTGCGTTCGATTCGCAGTATTTACCCAATAACTATATATTTATATAATATATATACTACTATATAAAAAACTTATATAGTTCAAAGGTTAGAACACTGATCTCATACGTCAGTAATGGTAGGTTCAAATCCTTCTATAAGTTTAGCCTTTATAGCTTAACGGTAGAGCAATAAATTGAAGCTTTATGAGTCGAGGTTCAATTCCTTGTAAGGGCAAAATTCTAAATAGAGAGTATAGTTTAATGGTAGAACAATTACCTTTTAAGTAATACCATGGTGGTTCAAATCCACCTATTCTCATAGTGATTAATATTTATTAATAATCTCTATTATATATAATTTCGAAGTTTAATATTTAACAGATCAAAATTATTAGACCAAATGTCTATAAAATTATTATTTTTAATTAATTTAGTTGGATTAATATTAATATTATTAATTAATAATATTAAATTAATTACTTCTACAAACCAAGTGATAATTAGACAATTATCTTTATCAATAAGTATAATTACTTTATATGTAGTTATATATATGTGATATATATTCAACAGTAATGTTGTTGAATTTCAAGGAATAGAATCTATTTTAAATATAGATTGAGGATATGATGGTATATCATTAGTATTAATATTATTAACTGCTTTTTTAGGACCTATTGCTTTATTATCTAATTGAAATATTAATATAAATAATAAAGATAATAAAAAAGATATTATGTATGTATCTTTAGTATTAATGTTAGTATTTTTAATGATTTTAAACTTTTTATGTTTAGATATGGTTTCTTTCTATGTATTATTCGAAAGTACATTAGCTCCATTATTCTTATTAATAGGTATTTATGGTGCAAGTAATAAAGAAAAAGCTGCTTATTATGTATTAGTTTATACATTAGGTAGTTCTTTATTTATGTTATTAAGTATTGCTACATATATATATTTATTAAATACTACAGATTATTTAGGAATTGAAAATATTATGTTATCTATTGATATTCAATGTATATTATGATTAGGTATATTTATTGGTATTGCAGTTAAAACTCCATTATTACCAGTACATACTTGATTACCTGTAGTTCATTCTGAATCTCCTTTAGGAGGATCTATTTTATTAGCTGGAGTAATTTTAAAATTAGCTATTTATGGTATTTTAAGATTATTAATTCCTAACTTTACAGATGCTACAATGTATTATTTACCTGGAGTATATGTATTAGCTTTAATAACTATTGTTTATACTAGTTTAGTTACTTTAAGACAAACAGATTTAAAAGTTATTATTGCATATAGTTCTATTAGTCATTTAGGTGTTTGTATTTTAGGTGTATTTGCTAATAATTTAATAGGTATTGAAGGTAGTTTATTATTATGTATTGCTCATGGATTTGTATCACCTGCTTTATTCATTATTGTAGGAGGTATTTTATATGATAGATATCATAATAGATTAGTATATTACTATCAAGGATTATCTAGTTTTATGCCTATATTAGCTATATACTTAGTATTCTTTAGTTTCTGTAATGTAGGTACTCCATTATCTATTAACTTCTTAGGTGAATTCTTATCATTTATAGGAGCTTTCCAAAGTCATCCTATATTAACTGCTATTTGTACTATTTCAGTATTATTAAGTGCTAGTTATCAAATGAAATTAACTAATAAATTAACAGGAGGTAATAAATCTACTTATTTACAAGTAACTCAAGATTTAACTAATAGAGAAACTTTCTTAATGAATTATTTATTCATTCCTACTCTATTCTTTGGATTATATCCTACTCCTTTAACAGATTTATTAAACTTATCTTGTTCTTCTGTTTTATATCATATTGTATAATTTGATATTTTATAAAAGTAGATAAATAAATATATCTGTTTATTTTATATTTGGGGAAAGTATTATTTTACAAAATATTATCAGGTAAAAATTAAAAATAAATTTATTAGATAATATTGTATTATATTATATATCATAGTTTAATATATACATAATTATGCGTATTGTAATAAACATAAGATATTTATTATTTATCTTATCAGATAGAAGCCAAAGTGGATCGGCACTGTTGTTGGGGAGCAGACCTAGATAGTTCAAGTCTATCCTATCTGAATTATTATTAATTTATAATAATATTATTTAATATAAGTGATTGTAATATATATATTATACTTATTAAAAAATAAGTATAGGTAATTAAATATAATATAATTATATTTATTATATTATGAACCTCATCAGTACATAACAATATATAAGAATAATCAGATAACATCTAATACATGTAAATAAAGAACAGTAGTTTCGTAACCTACATGATGATTAGTAGTAAAGTGATAATTACGTAATCTTCAATAACAAATACCTAACATAATAATTAACATAACCATATGGAAGAAATGTAATCCTGTACCACAGAAGAATACAGAACCAAATACTCCATCAGAGATAGTAAATGCAGCATTAGTATATTCTACTATTTGACATAAAACGAATATAACAATTAATCAGAAAGTTAAACCTAATCCTAATAAAGCATTAGTACGGCTACCTTGTAATAAAGCATGGTGACAGTATGTAATAGTAGCCCCACTAGCTAATAATATAATGGTATTAAGTAAAGGTAATTCTGTAGGACCTATAGCTTCAATACCTACAGGTGGTCAAACATTACCTAATTCAATATTAGGTGACATAGCACTATGGAAGTAAGCTCAGAAGATAGCAGCGAAAATTAATATTTCAGATAATACAAATAATATAAATCCTAAATTTAAACCTTTTCTAACAGCTATTGTATGATCTCCTAAGAATGTAGCTTCTGCAATAATATCTCTAAATCATAATGTCATACTAAATAATACTACTACTATACTTAAACCTAATACGTATAAATTACCAATATAACCATGCATAGTAAATGCAAATGATAAAGCAAATGACATTAAAGCAAATGAAATAAAGATAGGTCAAGGAGATGGTTGAACTAAATGAAAGGGGAATAATTGGAATTGACTTCTAGTATTTTTTGTCATATTTTATTAAAAATAATAAAATCTTGTAATTAATAAGAATTATTTAATAATAATTTTTATAATTTATAATTAAAATGTAAAATTAATTAATCTCAGCCGGAATCGAACCGGCACTTTCTCCATGAAGAAGAGATGTCATAACCGTTAGACGATAAGATCTAATATGTTATATTAGGGAGTCGAACCCCAAACCTTTCGATTACAAAACGAATGCTCTAGCCAATTGAGCTAATATAACTATAATAATATATTATTATACTACTTATAGTAAATTATAATAGATATATTTAATATATAAATATATATATATTTATAAAAAATAATAATTTATAATAATTATTCTTGATCATTTAATCATTCTAAGAATTCTGGTAATGTAACAGCTTCTACTTTAATAGGCATAGCTGAATGAGCTACTCCACATAATTCTGAACATTGTCCATAGAATACTCCAGTTCTTTGAATTAAAGCAGATATTTGGTTTAAACGACCAGGAGCTGCATCAATTTTTAAACCTAAACTAGGTACACAGAAATCATGAATAACATCAGCTGATGTTACAATAAATCTAATATGTGTATCTATAGGACATACGATTGATGTATCAGTATCTAACATTCTTAATTGACCATCTTCTAACATATCATCTGGAATTAAATATGATTCGAATTCTATTGTTTCTCCACTATCATTAATGAAATCACTATATTCGTATTTTCAGTATCATTGTAATCCAATAGCTTTAATTGTCATAGCTGGTGAAATTACTTCATCACATAAATATAATAAAATGAAACTAGGGAAAGCAATAACTAATAATACTAAAGCAGGTAAAATAGTTCAAATAATTTCTATTGTTTGTCCATGTTTAATATATTTATAAGCTATAGGGTTAGCTGAGAAAGTACGAACACTAGTATATAAGATTCATGATACTAAACAGAAAATTAATACTAAATAGAACATAATATTATCATGTAATTCTATTATACCTTCTTGGTTAGGTGTTGCACTGTTTTGGAAATATACACCTCAGGGTGTAGGTACATCATTTAAAATGATGAATTGTGATGTTAAAAAGTTTAACATTTGTTATTATTTTTATAATAAATATAAAATAGTATACTATATAGTATAGAAATGCTTAAGAATAATACTATAATATTATTCTTTCTATTATCTTAAGATAATTTAATTTAAGTTTAACTGGATTCGAACCAGTATTTTAACGTTATCAACATTACATTCTAACCCTTGAATTATAAACTTATAATAAGTATAGTACTTATATAAATATATATATATTTATATATTATATTAATATTATATATTATTATATGCCTTTAAAAGAATTTCTCAAATACTTATAAAATATTAGTATATAATATTAATACTATAATAGTTATGTAATAAATATTAAATTATTGTATATTAGTAGATTTAATTGGATTCGAACCAATATTTAATGTATATAAAACATTTAATTTCCCCTCTATCAATCTATAAAAAATATATATATACGTATATATATATATAAAAAATATACTTTTTTTTTATTTATATAATTGTAATAATCGATTACAATACTATCTCAATTAGTATAATAATAATATATATAATATATTAAATATAATAATTTAGCCATAGCATAGAATATAAAAATACTCATTCATAAATCAATCAATTTATTTAATTTTTTATTTAAAGAAGAATATTTTTTTTATTAATAAATATTTTTTTATATTTTTAATAGGAAAAATTATATTAAAAATTTGAATTAGTCAATTTATAGGAAGAAAACTTCCATGTTTAATTTAATAAATAATTTTATTATTAATTAGATAATTTATTTGAGTTAAATAAATTTATTAAAGTAAATATACTTAATAAAATTAATAAAACTAAAATATTATGTATAGATATACATAAAGTAACGATAGTAATACTAGTTACTAAGATTAAACCATAACTAAATACTGAACCATAACTTAATTTATTAAATGTTAAAGAAATAACTTTAGTTAAAGCTCATAAACCATTAGGTCCAAATACTTTTAATAATCCTTTATCAATATGTTGATTTAAGATACCACCTAAATTTAAACCTCCTCTAATAATATAATTATTTAATAATTGATCACTAAATACTTTTTGATTTAAATAGAAATAAATTTTATTTAATATAGAATTATCATAAACATTAATTAATTTATAATTAAATTCATAAATATATAATAAAATGAAACTACCTCCTAAACCAAGAATTAATGGTAATACTTTAAATATAGAACTTAAAGCAAATTCAGTTTCAATTAAATGTAAATTATTAGGATGAATAAATAAAGCATTAAATGGACTACCCATACCTAAATAAATATCTCTAGAAATATAACCTACAAATATAGATCCAATAGCTAAGATAAACATAGGTATAACCATTACATAATCCATTTCATGTAAGTTTAAATAAGTATATTTTGGACTATTTGGAGTATTAAAGAAAGTTAAATATAAAATACGCATACTATATAACGAAGTTAAAGTAGCAGATAATAATGCTAATCAATAAATAGCAAATCCAGAGAAACCAAATGATCCTATTAATGTTTCTAAGATAATATCTTTAGAATAGAATCCAGTTAAACTAGGAATAGCCATTAATGATAATGATGCAATTAAAATACATGTATATGTTAAAGGTAAGAAAGGTAAGAATCCTCCATAAGTTCTTAAATCTTGTGATTCGTTAATAACTGAATGAATAATAGCTCCTGCTGACATGAATAATAAAGCTTTAAATACACTATGACATACTAAATGGAATAATGCTAAATTATATGCAGAAACACCTACAGCAATAACCATCATACCAATTTGACTCATAGTAGATAAAGCAATAACTCTTTTAATATCATTAGATACAATAGCTATTAATCCTGCTACACCTGTAGTAATACCTCCTAATGCAAGACAAGCACCTAACATCATAGGACTAAATTCTAATATTGGAGAAGATCTCATTAATAAATAAACTCCAGCTGTTACCATTGTAGCTGCATGTAATAAAGAAGAAACAGGAGTTGGACCCTCCATAGCCATTAATAATCATGAATGTAATCCAAATTGTGCACTTTTTGCAGTAGTAGCAATAATAAAACATAACATAATTAAATTAATTAAATTTGTTTCTATATAAGGTGTAATAGTAAATATACTATCAAAATTTAATGAACCAAATGTAGAGAATAATAATAACATTCCAATAATAAAGAAAGTATCACCCATTCTATTTAATAATACAGCAGATAATGCGGATTTCATTGCAGTTATACGAGTATATCAGAAAGAAATTAATAAGTATGAAGTAACCCCTACAAATTCTCATCCAATAAACATAGTTAAATAACTATTCCCTGTAACTAATATTAACATAAAGAAAGTGAATAATGATAAATATGAGAAGAAACGAGGTTGATGAGGATCACTTGACATATAACTATATGCAAATATATGTACAAAGAATGAAATAGTAGTAACTGGGATTAACATACTACCTGATAATTTATCAATTGTAAATGCTCAATCTACTTCTAAAGTATCTATAGTTAATCAAGGTAAAATATTTAAAGTAATTTCATTATCATTTAAAACTACTTCTATAAAAATACAATAAGATAATACCATAGAAATAAATATTGTAAATATTACAATTTGTTTACTTAATACTGGACCAATATATCTTCCAAATAATCCAGAAATTATACTACCTAAAAAAGGACTTAATAATGTAATTAATAACATATTTATATATTAATTAAATGTCTAATGATAAAGACCCTCTTAATTTATAATATGCTACTAAGATTGATAATCCTATAGCAGATTCTGCTCCAGCTAATAATAATACTACTATTCCATAAAAAATACCTGTAATATCATCCATTAACGCACTACCTTGTAGTATTAATAATGTAATTGCTAATAACATTATTTCAATACTAATAAAACATAAAATTATGTTTTTTTTATTTAAAACAAATCCTAATAGACCTGTTAATAATAAAATTAAAGTTATACTCATTTTTTTTTATTTTTTTTTATTTTTATTCATAATCATGTAATTTTATTTATTAATATAATAATATAGATATAGATATATCTCAAGATATAATATATATCAATCTAAATACAAATATATGTAAAAATATTCTTTATATTTAGGTACTTATAATAATACTGAGATTATTCAAGTATATGATATACTTATATAAAAATATCTATAATATTTATATTTATTTTTTTTATATAAATCTAAATTCAAGAACAGAGAGAATTGAACTCCCAACAATGGATTTGAAATCCACAGTTTTACCCTTAAACTATATTCTTATTTGTAGATTATACACAATCACTTATATATATGAAATATATATTTATATAATAATAGATTTATATTTTTATAGAATATTAAAGATAATAATAACTCCGCAGCAGGTTCCCCTACCACGACCGTATTTCAACTTTACAGCTATCTAAATCTGTCCTGAATATCATGAATATAATATAATAAAAAGATTATTAAATAATAATCCTACTATAATAATTCGAAAATACTTATGATCCAAATTTATCTTGCCATATGATGAGTGGTTAGTGCGAAACAGCTGACATATTCACCGTATCATATCTGATATACGATTACTAGCAATTCCTTTTTCATAATATCGAGTTACAGATTATTAATCCAACTAACTATATCATTACAAAAATGTAGTAAGTAGTACTAAGTTTTATATTTTTAGCGAGTATTTACACATTAGCTTAATATTGTACTTAGTCTTCTGTAGCACGTCTGTAGCCCATACCATCAGGGCCATCACGATTTGTCTTTGTTCTCTTCAATCTCATGATTAGACGAGATATCCATAATCATTAATATAGATTATGCAAGAGTTATGTTCGTTAATGGACTTAACCTAATATCTTACGACACGAACTGAAGACAACGATGTAACGCCTGTTTTATTTTTCTAATAAATAAATCCAAGGTATGGTAAGGTTTGACGGGGATCATCGTATTAAACAACATGCTCCACTGCTCAAGGCTGTAACCGTCTATTGTCTAGAATTTCATCCTTGCGGACGTACTCTCCAGGCGGAACACTTAGTTTTCACTTTATACATAAACCATGTATCAGTGCTCATAGTTGACAGCTAGAACTACTTGGGTATCGAATCCATATCGCTCCTCTAGCCTACGTCCCTCAATGTCAGTTTTTATTTAGTATATATCTTTCGATTCTTAGCAGTCGTATAACAATTATTATTATTTCATCCTTACTGTTATAATTCTATATACTTAAAACAAAACTCTAATCTTTTCCATATATAAACATTTTTATATATGTTAATATAACTTATTATAAAGTTATAAAACAAGACCATTCTACGGACCCTTTAAGCCATTATTGTTAACGCTAGCCCCCTTTGTATTACCGCAGCTGCTGGCACAAATTTTGGTTGGGACCTTTAAAACAGCTAACATCATTATTCTCACTGTTTATGGGTTTTATTTTATTTCAATTTATTATAGTAAAATATATAAAATATATTTATAAAATAATATGTATCTATAAAATAAATACATATATTATAATAATCACCCTCATAAGTAACTGGGTCAATCGTTAGATCATTGCCCAATATTCCTCACTGCAGTATCCTTTGATATTGACTATGTTTCATCGTCAACGTGGCCATTGTGACGGTGATCACTAGCTATGCATCCTCGGCTAGGGAGGCTATTATCCTCCCTACTACCTTAAACCAGTATTGGCTCGACTATAGACGAGAATATAAATTCTCTTCAAAATTACTTTCTTAAAGGTATTTAACCTTATCATATAGTTCAGATACCAATAATTACTCACGGGTTCACTACTTTCATAATATAAATCAATAAGAATAAAATATTCTTTAGATATATTATAACGTTTAATTTGCATGTGTTATGTTCTTATATAGCGCTTAACCGGAACCAACATCATGTTCTCAAGGTAAATTAAATTTTTCTACTGTAATATGTACTTTTAGTACATTATTATATTATATATAAAAATATATAATTTTTTTTATTACGGATACTGAGACTCGAACTCAGATAAATAGTTTGGAAGACTACAGGTTTAACCATTAACTTACATCCGCTTAATGAATATATCTATATTAGTTAGATATAAATCTAACCTTAACTAATTTCCATATTAGTTATAAAATATAATTTTATATATAGATTATATCTCTTATATAACGAATAGGTATATATATAGAAAATATATTCTATTCGTACTTATAAACAAATAATTATATAAAATATTAGATATTTGTTATTTGTTACTTATAGAAAGTTTTTTCTAAATTAGATATTTTATGTACATAAATACGATTTATATGTAAAGCTCCTGTATTAATTTCATATACAAATCCAGTAATTAAAATTAATAAGAATAAAATTAAAATTAATAATCCATAGTTACCTACATGATATAAACTTAATACATAAGGTAAAATAGATGAGATTTCTAAATCAAAAGGTAAGAATAAAATAGCTACTAATATGAAGGCTACTGAGAAAGGAGTTCTAGATTGAGAGAATGAAGTAAATCCACATTCGAAAGGTCCAGTTTTCTCATTATAACTATCTTGAGTAGCTAAAATAGCATTAACAAATACTAAAGCTAAACCTATAATAGGTACTGCAATTAAATAAAGTTTTAATGAATTATATAAAAACATATTAAATTAATAAATTATTAAATGCTAAGATATAAGCTCCTTGTAAAATTGTATCTATTTGACAAATATTTAATAATATTACTAATGTAATAGTACTAATAATATAACAAATACTACTTGATAAATTATTACCTTTAGTTGAAGTTAATTTAATACTACTAAATGATAATGTTTTTATAATATAGGCATAATATACTGTAGTAACTACACTAAATAAAATTAAACCTAATGATAATAATAAATATCCTTTATTTAAACTTGAAATTAAAATATAGAATTTACCATAGAATCCTACTAGAGGTGGGATCCCTATTAATGAGAATAAACTTATAATTAAAGCCATAGCTAAATAACTATTTTTAATTAATAATCCATTTAATTGATTAATATATTCAATAGGTGATAAAGAACTTAATAATATAGAATTATTAGAATTAGATTTTATTAAATTAGAATTAAATACTATATAATAACTTGCTAATAAAACTACAAAGAAAATATTTACATGTGTTAATCCATATTGATAAATATATACAATAAATCCTACTAATCCTTCTTGTGTATTAACTAATAAAGATAATAATAAATAACCAGCATTAATTACACCACTATAGGCTAATAATACTTTTATTTTAATTTGAGATAAACCTCCTAAACTACCTATCATCATAGATAATAATACACTAATAGCTATAATATAATTAATATAATTATTTTCAATATTTAAACTATTAATAATAGTATACATAAATGGTAATATACTTAATTTAGCCATTAAACTAATATATGAAGTTACAATAGTAGGTGTATTACTATAAACAGTTATAGATCAATTATGGAAAGGAGCTAATCCCATTTTTCATAATAATCCTAAAACTATAAATAAAAATCCAAAGTATAAAGAATCTAAATAATTAGTATAATTTACTAAAGTAAATATATAATCTAAAGAAGTCATACCTGTTACATAATATAATATAGCAGAACCTAATAAGATTAAAATACTAGCTAATCCTCCTAATAAGAAATACATTAATCCAGCTTTAGTAGCATTATTAGATTCTCTATATATACTAGTAATTAAATATAAACTATAACTTTGTAATTCAATAATTACAAATAAAGAAATTATATCATTAACTACTGGGAATAATAATAATCCTAATAAATTAAATAATATTAATAAAATATATTCTTTATAAGAATAATGAATTGAATCAATAAAATTATAACCTATAATATTAACACTATTTAAAAATAATAATAATCCTACTATTAATAAAATTAATATTGAGATTATAGTACTTAAAGAAGTAATTTTAAATAAATTATTATAAATAGAAATACCTGAATTAATATTTTCTAAACTAAATATATTTAAAGTTAAGTATAATACGTATAAAATTACGATAATAGCTATTCTATTTATATGTTTATATAAATAAAATAATTGATTATGTGCTTCTTGAGAAAAGTCACTAATCTTTTGAGAGTTTTTTGCGACAAATGATATGAATACAATTAAGAATGATAAAGATGTTAATAACATTTTTTTTTTTGGTTTAATTAATATTAAAAAAGAATTTTCTTAAAGATATAATTAGAAAAAGAATTTTTTTTGTTACAATAATATAAATAATAATTTATTTTTTTTTTAATTAAGAATTTTTTTTATACTTAATGTAAGTATAATGCATCTTTTAAGTATCCTGCAGTTAATACACTTAATACATAAGCTTGGATCATAGAAATAGCATATTCTAAACAAACAATAGCTAAAATACCAGCTAAAGGTAAGAATCCTAATACAAATGTAATAATTGAAACTGACATTAAAGTTAATGTTAATCCACTTAAGATACTTAATAATAAATGTCCAGATAAGATATTAGCTGACAATCTTAATCCTAAAGAAATAGCTCTAGCAGTATATGATAATAATTCAATTAATACTAAAACAGGAACTAAAGGTAAAGGTGTTCCTTCAGGTACAAAGAACCCAAAGAAATCTAATTTATGATAATAAATAGCAATAATAGTAGCACCTAATCAGATAGCAGTACTTAAAGAAACAATAAATACTAAATGAGAAGCTAAAGCAAATGAGTAAGGAACCATACTAATTAAGTTAGCAACTAATACAAAAATAAATAATGTATAGATGAATGGGAAGTAGAATCCTCCATATACTCCTCCTATTTGGCTTCTAACCATATTTAATACAGTATCATATAAAGCTTCTTGACTTACGAATCATCTTGATCCTACTATTTTTCCATGGTTATCTGTTAATAAATTTAATGCTAAAATAACAAATAATACTATTACACTGTATAATGTGAAAGTAGTAATATTTAAAGCGCTTAAATCAAAGAAAGGAGAAACAAACCCTAAGAAAGTTTGAATATTAAATTGATCTAAAGGTGAATTGATAATATAGTTCATATTAATAATTTAATTTATAAATAATATCAAAATAATTTTTTTATTATTATATAATTCTAATTAATTTATTATAATTTAGTAATAAAGAATCTTGAAATATATAATTTTACAATTTTTGGTAAGAAAAATTGTGCAAATAAAACTAATAAGATTACTATTAAAGCAAACCCATAAGTTAATTGGTTAACAAAGTAAAATGGTACTAATTGTGGCATAATATAATATAAATTTATATTATAAAATTTAAATTCTTTTTTAATATATTAAATATTTAATATAAATATTAAGTTAAATACAACCTCTTAATATTAAATTAAGATTGTACAGCTGGCATGTTGAATGAGTGCACTAGTGGAGGTGTATTTAATAAGAAATCTAATGAAGAAGATTTATTATCTTGTGATAAGAATATTCCATTAGATTCTACAAAGTCTGGAGATTTTGCATAAACTACAGCTTTACTTACTTTATTTTCTAATCCATTAATAAATTGATCGTATATTACATATACAAATAAGAATAATGAAATTATACTGATCATTGATCCAATACTACTAACGTAGTTTCAACCAGCAAATGCATCTGGGTAATCTGGAATACGTCTTGGCATACCATTTAAACCTAAGAAATGCATTGGTAAGAAAATAGTATTAGCACCTATGAAGATTAATCAGAATTGGATTTGAGCTAATTTTTCATTATAGTATAATCCTAACATTTGAGGACTTCAGTAGTAGTATCCTGCTAAGATAGAGAATACAGCTCCCATAGATAATACATAATGGAAATGTCCTACTACGTAATAAGTATCATGGAATGCTACATCTAAACTAGCATTACTTAACATAACTCCTGTTAATCCTCCCATTGTGAATAAGAATAAGAATGCAATAGCATATAACATAGGAGTAGCTAATCTAATAGAACCTCCATAAATAGTAGCTAATCATGAGAAAATTTTAATTCCTGTAGGAATAGCAATAATCATTGTAGCTGATGTGAAGTATGCTCTTGAATCTACATCTAATCCTACAATATACATATGGTGACTTCATACTAAGAATCCTAATAATCCAATACTTGCCATAGCATAAATCATTGATTGTGCACCGAATACTGGTTTTTTAGAGTATGTACTTAAAATATGAGAAATAATACCAAAAGCTGGTACAATCATAATATATACTTCTGGATGACCGAAGAATCAGAATAAATGTTGGTATAACACTGGATCACCACCTCCAGCTACTTCGAAGAATGAAGTATTGAAGTTACGATCCATTAATAACATTGTTACACCAGCTGATAATACTGGTAATGATAATAATAATAATACAGCAGTAATTAAAATAGCTCAAACAAATAATGGCATTTTATGTAATTCCATACCATTTGTTCTCATATTTAATGTTGTAGCTATGAAGTTAATTGCACCTAATAAACTACTAATACTTGTTAAATGTAATGCAAAAATAGCTAAATCTACTGATGGTCCACTATGTGCTTGAATTGCTGATAATGGGGGATATACAGTTCATCCTACCCCTGGACCTGATTCTACTAATGTAGATGTTAATAAACATACTAATGCAGGAGGTAATAATCAGAAACTAATATTATTTAAACGAGCAAATGACATATCACTAGCACCAATCATTAAAGGAAGGTAGTAGTTACCAAAACCACCAATAATAGCAGGCATTACAAAGAAGAAAATCATAGCAATAGCATGACCAGCTACAATTACATTGAATATTTGATTATTTCCATGTAAGATTTGTTGTCCTGGAGCAGCTAATTCTAATCTAATAATTAAAGACATAGATGAACCAATCATTGCACTAAATATTGCAATTATAAAGTATAAAATTGCAATATCTTTAGCATTTGTTGAGAATAACCATCGATTAACCATAAAAAAATTTTTATTTGTTAATATAGTATATATAATATATATTATATATATACTATACGATATTTAGTATTAATTAATACTCGTTAATTTAAATTATAAATAATTTAATTATATAACTTTTAATACAATATAAGCCTAACAATATTAGGCAATATATTAATATTACGTACCAAGCATAAATAAATATATATGATTAATATACCTTTATTTATTTTTATAACTAATTATTATAATTAATAATTAGATATTAATTTATATATAATATATAAAAACTGTAACTATTAATATGAATAATAAATTAATAAATTTATATTTATATATAAATGTATATATATTAATATCCTTAATTAATAATATTATTAATAATTAAAGATATTGTAAAGTTCCACTTAAAAAAAAATTGAAGAGAGCATGAATCGAACATGCGTAAGCAGCAGCTACTGAGTTTACAGCTCAGCTCCAATTACCAACATAGGAAATCCCTCCAAATAATATCATATTATAATAATCTATATATCTAATAATAATTATATCTAATAATTTTATATTATTATATATATAATTATATTATAATTCTAATATATATTATCTACTTTTATAGAAGGTGTAGGGAGTTGAACCCTAATAAATAGATTTGCAATCTAATAGTTTAACCGTAAACAACACCTCCATAGCTATTCTAAATAATTAAAAATTACTATTAATTATATAATAATAATAATTATTATTACTTTATAGGAATTGAACCTATATCATCAGTTCCGTAGACTAACATTTTACCATTAAACTAAAAGTAAATTTCTCCATATAAATAAGTATATAAATATATAATATTTATATATTACATATTAAAGTAATCTATAGGATAGATCGAATATAATATATATAAATAATATTTTATTTTCTCGGAATATATAGGACTCGAACCTATCAGAAGTTAAATTCATTATTTAGCAGATAATTTGTCTTACCAATGACGAATATTCCTTACAATATTTACTTTTTACGAATCTAACCAGAATTGCACTGGCATCCCTCATCGTGACAAGATGATACTCTACTATTAAGCTACAGATCCTTTAATATTATTACATAAATATATTAAATATTAAATATATATATATTTTCTTATTGAATCGACTAGACTCGAACTAGTATAAATTGACTCAAAATCAACGGACTTACCGATTAGTCAACGACTCACATAACTATAATATAATAATATTCTTCAACACTAAATATAAATTATTATATTTATATTTAATAGTCAATATATATAACAAATAAATATATATTATATATTCCTCTTATATCCCATAATTGATTCATAATAAATTATGAATTTATACTATTAAATATAAAATATTTATTATAAGTACTGAATTATATAAAAATTAATTAAGCTATTTTGGTGGAATGGTAGACACAGTGCTCTTAAGAGGCACCGCTTCAAGCATATTGGTTCAAATCCAATAAATAGCATTTATACTAAATAATAGTATAAAAAAGGAATAAAAATCCTTAAGCTAATAATTATACATCCACTCTTTTAGCTTAATGGTAAAGCCTATTACTTCTAATAATAAGATTTTAGTTCGATTCTAAAAAAGAGTTAATTATTTTATAATTATAGTTATAATTAAAAGATTAATTTTATAATATGACTTATTGGTTAGAAATATTTTATTAAATAAATAATAAATAGGAAATTAGCTCAATTGGTTAGAGCGTTCGTTTTACACACGAGAGGTTACTGGATCATACTCAGTATTTCCTATACACAATATCATATTAATGAGCATCGAAAATCCGATATTATATATAATAATCACTTATATATCCAGGATATATATATATCCATATATATAGGGATAAATATATAAATATATATATATTATGAATATAGTCAAAAATTATTTAACGAGATAAAACCCCTTATTAAAAATTATACACCGTATAATAATAAGAATGAGATCATTAAACAGAATAATCCTGTAGCTTCTGATAAGGCGAACCCTAAGATAGCAAATGGGAATAATTCTGATTTTAATGAAGGGTTTCTTGAAGTACCGTTAATTAAAGCAGCGAAAACGATAGCGATACCGATCCCTGCTCCTGTTAATCCGATTGTAGCAATACCTGCTCCAATGTATTTAGCTGCTAATACTAATTGCATGATAAAAAATAAATTGTCTAACAAAATAAAGTAAAAAATAAGCTACCCTAAAGGGTGGTATAATCGTTATTCTAACGAAATGAATATATTACTATTCTCTTATATATGAATAAGAACAATCAACTGAAAAAATAATAATTTAATAATAATTTAATGATTATTTAACCACAATAGGTTTAGTTCCAATTCAGCGTCCATTTTCATCATAAATTTTCATTCTTTTTTTAAAAGAATTATAATTTAATTTAATATCTCTATCAGTAATAATAACATAACCTTCATCAACATTTTTAATAGATAATTTAGTTTTAGAATTAATAGAAACATTATTTAATAAATTAATAAAATCATTTTCATTTAGAGGAGAATTAATTCCTTTAGATCCAGAAATAATATTATTAAATTGATCAATCATAAAATATAATTTATTACTAATAAAGTAACCTCTTTTAATTTTAGCAATAAATTTAAACTGTCCAATACCTTCTCCAACGAAATTCTTATCTAAAGGTTTATCAATAACAATACTATCAGTATCACAATAATAAATTTTATATCCTTTATTAATAAGATCTAATTTAAAATTATTAAATCAAATTCTAGCATAACTATTAATCATAGCTGTCACCATAACAGACGCATCATTATAAATACTTTGATCATCTTTCATAGAAATTAATTTTGATCCTTTATTAATAATATCTAAATAATCAATATTATTAGCTATACATTTCTCAGGTACAGGTATAGGTATATATTTTACAACAAATTTACTATTTGATTGATTATTCTCCACTTCCATAACAGAAATAACATCACAACAAGCCATAACTAAATCAAATTCTTTTTGATTTAATAATTTAGTTACTGCTTTCTTAATATCAATACCAAATCTACCAATTAAATTATTTAATAAACTTTTATATATAAATTTTCCTCCTCCTTTATTTTTTAATTTTAAATTATATAAATCTAAAATATACTTTTTAAAAGGACTTTTAATTTTATTAAAGTTATAACCTTCAATAATTTTAATTTTATATCCATTATTTTTAGCAAATTTTAATTCTTCACTAAATCAAACCCCATTAAATTTCCCTACAGGGAATATTAATCCTTTATCTTTAGTTCTCAAAGGTAATAAACCTATTTGCATTTTATCTATTTGCATTTTATCTATTTCCACTTCAGCTTTAAAAAATCCAAATAAATCTTCTAATTTTAATTCTTCCTCACCATAATTGTATAAAAAACTAATATCTAGACCTCCAATAAAATTATCTAAAGCCATAGCAGGATATAAAGAATTAACATCATAATAATATAAATTTTCTCCATAAGGATAATATACAGAAGTAACACCTCCATATAATCCTTCTCTAATAAAACTATATAATCTATCATTTTTAATTTGAGGTATATTTTTTAATTCCTTGTATTTATGATTAAAAATATTTAAAGCTAATCTAGAGATTGTTAAATTTTTACGTATATCCATATCAAAAAATTGATCAATAAATACTCTAAATTTATCTATAACTAATAATAATGAACCTAAATCTTTAATTAAATATTTAGATACTTCTTCTCTCAAGTTTCATGTTTTATTATTATAAATATAATCATAAAATTCTTTAACATATTGATCTTTAGAAATTCCTTCATAATATTTAAGGTCTGGTATATTCCCAACATAATCTAAATTATTATAATTTACAAAATCATAAGGAAATAAATCTTTTTTAAAATTAGAAGGTAAATTAAATATTTCACATAAACTATTTAGATTAATATTTAATAAAGCTAAAGAATCACATATATTAATACTAAATCTTTTATTTTTATAAACATATCATAAATTCATTTTTAAAATATTAGCATCTCTATAAATTAAATCAAATTTAATTTGATCTTCTTCAGCCTTTGATTTATTATATTTAATTAAACTATTTAATAAATATATACTATCATATCCACCTAAATTATGCACATAAAATGTATAATTAGAATAATTTAAAAGCATATCCATAATACATTCAATAACCATATTAATAGAAGGATGATTATAATCTTTATAATCTTCTAAATAATAAATATTCATATTTAAATCATTAAAACTTATATCTTTTAATCTATTTTTTTTAAATATAGAATATCCTATAGCATATACATAATTATCTTGATTTTTATTATTAAAACACTCTAAATCCAAAGTACCTATTTTTACTAAAGATTCAGAAATTTGAATTCCTGAATTTAAAGGTAAAGATAGACTATTAACTTGTAATTTATTAATTAAATATTCAACTTTTAAATCAGAAATATAAATTTTCTTATCATTAATAATTCTTTCAAATAATTTATCTGATAATTTATTATCTATACAATAATAATCTAAAGAGAAAGTTTCTTTATTAAATACTCAAATATAATTTCTATCTAATCTTAAAACTACCAAATATTTATTATCAAAATTATAAAATTTGTAATCAAAGATAAATAATTTATCTTTATAAAAATTAACAAAATCATAATTAAAAATACTAAATTTATCTATATCTTTATAATTAATATTATTATTATTATTAATATTATTAATCATACTATTATTTAAAACATAATCTTTATTTTTAACTAAATTTCCATAATATTTAAAATCCATAGATAAAGGTAAAAATTTAGGACTAGTAATTTTTTTTAAAGTTGAAACATTTATCATTTTCAACACACTAGAAGATTTATAATCTTTAAAATTTTTTAAAATAACTTTTTCATTATCATAAAAATGAATAATAACAGCTAAAGGTTGACCTAATTCAAAATGATAATAATCTAATAAAAATTCAATTTTAGAAATCATAATCTTTCTAATCTTATCTATAACTTTATCCTCTAAATAATTAGTATATAAAGGTATATAATATTGATAGTCAATATCCTTTCCCTTTAATACTTCATCTAACAAAATTAATAAATTTTCATCTATAATAACTCTTCTTCTATAATATTCTATTAATTTTAAAAACCCTTCTCTACTTAATTCTATATCTAATTTTTCATACATATAAAAATGTATAGAAGATTTTCTAAATAATGGTTGTTTAACATTCTCCTCTAAAGAATTAAAAACAGTAGTAAATAAAATATTATAAGATTTACCTAAATTTAAATATTTTATAAATATATTTTTAAATAAACTAAAATTATTAACTAAATCCAAGTAATTAATAGATACTTTATTAACTCTATTATTTATACGTTTTAATTTATAATCTTTATTAAACATATATTTGTTTATATAAACATTGTGTATACGATACAACACTCCTCTTAATCAGTCTATATAGCATAACTATATAGTTATATCTCTATCTATCTCTTATATTATATAAATAAATATATATATTTTATATATTATATTTTATATATTATATTTATATATTATATATATCCATATCAATATCAATAACAATATCAATATCTATATCTAGATAACATCTCTTTCCTCCTTCTCCTCCATCACCCCTTTTCGGGGTGTATACACCCTCCGGGTGTAAAGTGGTAAACATACCCCTCCATTTAAACTCTCTCTTCTTTCACTATAATTACAATTATTCTATAGTATCTAATAATAATAATAATACAAAATAATCTCCTCCCTCGTCTTAAGGTTAATATAAAATAATAATAAACCCCCTCCTAAATAAATAATGCTAAGA